GGTGAAAAATGAGTATAAATTTTCTTGCTCTCACTTCCATCAATCTTCGAGTGTTGCTTTTTTCAGATGAATTCACACGAAATTCAAGTGCCTTAGGATGACGAAGAGCATTTCTTTTTCTATCCTATACACACTTTATCCATTGCTTAGCCCAACTGAGCCTGCAAATTCATTTCTTAAACCCAGTTGATGATCATCCCCCACATTGGGGCAAGGTAAAAGTTGTCACCGCCAAGCAGCATATTCAGAATGTCAATCGAAGGCAATTACCCCTGGAAGTCTAATGTTGAATCATTCAGTCAGAGTATAGTTGGCCAACATATGCATTGTAAACAGCGTATGTCAAGTGTAAAAAAAAAAAAAAAAGAGTTCAGTGGGCAAGAAAGAGCAGTGTGCTTGGTAAAAGCAAGGCCAATGCCCAAGGATGAAAGATAAGTGTATCAAAATCATCCCCAGTGGGATAGTCATAGTCCTACAAATTTAAAGAAGTGGTGAATTCAAGCCCAATGAAGCATTCGCTGAAAAGACGACTCCCAAGAATGAACAAGAAGACCGGTGACAATGCCAAGATGATCACCAACTTATTCACCCCAATTATACACATTTTGAGCCTAATGATCTATTCATTTCTCAATCCATGAGCCTAGCCTACGTTACGTCCCTTGTAAAGTCTCTTCAGATTAGGGCACTTGAACTAACGAAGGATTCAGATGTTTGTAAGCTTAGCTCAAAGAAGTGCGAGCAAGTCCATTTCTATCTCGTTTTGCAGGGTTCTTGACTTGTAAACCCGGAGACGATTGCGGAGTATTGTTCTTTCAATAGCCTTGACTCAAAGAGTCTCCTTTTGCTAAGCCATTGACCAAGCCCATGTTACGGTCCTGACAAAGACCTCTCAGATTGGTAAGGTCGTACCGCTTGCGAGAATACTTGGACACTTGTCCACATGATGAAGGAGAGATGGAGTGATTCTCATAAATCAGCCTTTTTCAATGAGAATGAGAGAAATCCCTTTTAGATCGGAAGTCCCTCATTCGGCATTTTCAAGACACCCACTTGTAAGTTCGGATTGTCTTGTCATGATTGTTCCCCAGCGGAGTTTGTAATACCGATTTGACAAAACCATCGTGCATGAAAATCAGTTGAAAATCATAGTGCATGTGTATATGTGTTCTTGACAGTGTGCGAATGCATATTACATGTTACTTAAATCTGTGTCTAACAGGAGACACACCTTCAGAGTTGGAGATATCGCCAGGTAAGTATATCTCTATCCCTAGGATATCTATGACTATCTAGGTGTCCCTAACCTGTTCGAGCAATCGTCAGGACCCACATTTGATCATTTTTGCGATCTCTAGATGCCTTTGATAATGTTTAGGTGTCTATTGATCAAGCTTTTTCAGGTACCTCTGATGATATCCAGGTACTTTGTCAAGGAACCCTTGAACACTTGGGCTAGCCCCTTTGTTCACCAAATCACAGATTTTCATACAATCTCGAGAAGATTCCCCCGTTACTCACCTATGAGCAGGTATAGGTGAGGCGGCCAAATCTTTGCATATGAGCAGGTATATGTAAAGGTTGGAATTCTCCCAAAATCTCAGGTATTCCCCCGTTACTCGCCTATGAGCAGGTATAGGTGAGGCGGCCAAATCTTTGCATATGAGCAGGTATATGTAAAGGTCGGAATTCTCCCCAAATCTCAGGTATTCCCCCGCTACTCGCCTATGAGCAGGTATAGGTGAAGTGGCCAAATCCTTGCATATGAGCAGGTATATGTAAAGGTCGAAATATTCTTTCAACCCCAGGTGTTCCCCCGCTACTCGCTTATGAGCAGGTATAAGTGAGGCGGCCAAATCTTTGCATATGAGCAGGTATATGTAAAGGTCGGAATATCCTCTTGACTTCAAAAGTTCTCCCCGCAATTCACTTATGAGCAGGTATAAGTGAAGCGACCAAATCTTTGCAAACACCTATGGAGATGTATAGGTAGTTGGTAAAGATCGGAACTGTTCTCACGAATCCAGATGATGATTGGATATGTCGAGCTTTCTTCGTGTGTTTTGACTTAACTGCAGATCACCGAAGTTCATCAACGTATATTAGGCAATACCTATGGAAATGAGCCCAGACATTTGCCAAACAACATACAAAATCCGAGTCGTGCCTCGAATTGCGCTATCTCACTCCTGTCAGGTAAGTAATTCCAGGTATGTTTTCCACTCATGTTAGCATACATCATTTCTTAATGCATTTTAAAATGGGAGTCATAATCCCGACAAAAACAACATTCATTGCATTTGCATGGTTGAAATTTAGGTATCATTTAGTCTTTGAATGCAACCTCTACGAGCTCACCTTCAAAGAGGGGTAGCTGTTGACACCTAAATTTTGGAGTATCATTTAGTGTAATTTGCATAGAAAATTAGGGATTAAATTTTTAACCCCTAAACAAAAATATTTAGGTTGCATAACATATAGTTTAAATTCATTTTAGATTAATTGCATTTTGCATCGGACCGGCGGTGACGAACGAGCTTAAATTTCATCGAATGGGACTCGGCTCGCTCGGAAGGCAAGGGCCGGGAATTACAAGTCAAACGGGCTCGGTTGTTTTAATTTGAGCTTAATTCAGCCCATTATCCTTAATTAATTCAGCCCATTTAAATTAAATTAAAATCTAAACCCAAGCCTAAGCCCATTAGGACTAGGAAGCCCGGTTAATTAACCTAGGGTTGCGATATAAATATGTCGTTATGCGTCATAATCACGGGGGGACTCATAATTTTCGGAGAATTTTCAGAGAGAGCGAGAAACACGCGTGAGATTAAGAGTAAGAAGAGAAGACGGCCGCACACGCAACGCCGTTATCGCCCGCGCCGTCCTGCCATCGCTACCACGCCGCTCCTGAGCTGAGGTCACAACGCCGCCATCTTGCTGCTGCTCTTCTACGACGCCCCTGTACAGCGGCTAGTTCCTTGTTGTGTCTCTACCACAACACTGACGCCTAGATCAACAAGCTGCTACACGTATTATGACGATGAAGCCATCGTGATCCTGCGCCGAGAAACTCGCAGCTGCTCCTTCCCGTGATCGACGACGTTGCTGCCCTTGCGCACACCAAGCGCCCCTTTGTGCTCTCCATGATAAATTGTTCTTCTGCCTTTGCGGGTTTAAAGAAAATTCCAAGGGGTGGTCAAAAGAGCTTTAGTGGAAGTTGGATTAAAGAATTCACTTGGAGGTCTTCTCTTGGGGAGACGTACGAAGTGGAGAAAAAAAAATCACAATTGGTTTTCTTTTGAGAACCGACACAGAGAATAACGACGCCCACAGGAGTTCTTTTTCCATGATACGTTGAGGAAAAAGTTCTCTCTTTTCCTCATCCACTTCTCAATTCGTGCGCTTGTTTCACCGATATTTGCAGATTCTTGGTCGTGTTCAACAACACCAACGTAGCCCCCACTGAGCAGAGAGTCTACGCGACCAAGGCATCATCACGCTCAGCCTTGCCGTGCACCACCGTGCCAGACGCCACCGTGAGCTGCCGCGCCGACGCCGCGTCGCCCGTCGTCCGAGTCCGATCTCGATCCACAATTCAAATTTGGAAGTTATCTGCAAATTAGGTAATTCAACATTATCCGATATTTTCAGAATATTTAATTTCCTAATATGGGTGTTTGAATATTTCGTGAATATCATGTGGATATTTAGAAATCTTAGGATAATGTTCGATATATCCGCAATATTTTTAAATATTCAAAATTAGGAAAACTTCCTAATTTAGCAACGTATCTGGACGACTATCCGACCTTATCCCTAAGGTTCGATACGCGGCGATACGGAAAATTATTATCCTATCCATAACCACTTGGGTACGATAATGATTTTTATCCGCTTTCCAAATTTGAATAATCGGCTTTCCGTCGATATCTATAACCTTATAGATATGACCGATAGTTTGATTTTTGTGCCTAATCCGAGTTTGAAACAAATATGGCGGATCCCGTGGACGTTTTGAATGTAGTTGCTATCCTTGTTTATTTAATTGCTTTCCTTTTTCAAATAAATAGAAAATTCAAAAAAAATATTAATTAGATTTGAATTAGAGTTTTCACATGTCTAGGAATCCTAAATATATCTAGAAGATAGAGTAGTTGTTTAATTTAAATTAGGACTTGAGATGATCTATTTCCTAGTTTAAATTAAGTAATATTCTAATCTTAATAGATTATTCAGGTTATTTCATTATTTCGAATTTTAACAAAAATCCTAAAAAGAAATCATGCTAGGGTAGATTAAGTCATCATAGTTTGCATGTTAATTTAGGCATTTTTATTATTCCGAATTTAAATTGAGAAAATACCAAAAATAATCATTCGTCTTGTCATTAGAAATAGGTCACGTCGTCGCACGACATATAGTTTGCATGCTAGGTTGCATTAATCGCATGTCATTTTCGCATGTCATTGCATATAGGCTAGATTTCATTTAAATAAGTGAAAATCCTAAAAAATATTGAGTGAACTGCTTGTTAATTAGAAATCATATTAGGATTGTTGATGTGATCTTCTAGCTAACAATGCAGATGCTTACGTTGCTTCCAGGTAAGTAATTCTTCCAAACTTGCAATTTATTTAATACTTTCTGAGTCTTAAATTGGTGGTTTGCGCACTCGCATGAACACCTCACATGTTAGTAACTAAGTTGAAATGGATCCAAACTGCCTGCCAAAACATTTTTGAAAAGAAAAGGTACCGAAAGGGCGTTAGACCAGATCTAGCGTAATCAAGTCCCCGGGCTTAGAATCTCTGGTTCGTAGGAATAAAACATATCTCCCTATGTTTTATTTAGGTTTCTAATCAACCTACCATAAATTGATTAGTGGCGACTCCGAGCATAAAAACTTTTGCATGTTAAAAACTTAAATCCTAAGTTGCGAATTGGTAGGGCTTGGGAGGGCCCGAGTTAGGCTTAGTCTTAACAATCCATTAGCCTGAGAGGAATTTTAGGTCGCGACAGTCCTCTATTCCACAACTTGTGTTTGATAGCCAATGTACCAAGGCCAAGGGGGTTCAACCATCTCTGCAAGAAAACTTGGCGAAGATAATTGACAAGGTCCTCTTGCTTCATACTGGCCCAATACGGAAGTTCAAGCTCTCTCACTTCGAATTTTCTGCCACGAGTGACATTGACCATTGGATTCTTCATCTATCTAGAGTGTCCGTCAAAGAAATCGTACTTGACATATGGAAAGGGCAATATTACAAGATTCCCACCTCCTTATTCAATTGCCAGGATTTGATTTGTTTGGAACTATATAGATGTTTGGTGAAAATCCCGTTGACGTTTGAAGGATTTAAGAACTTAAAAATTTTGGATCTTCAGACCCTGGAGCTATCTCCGGACGGGCTTGAGGCTTTGATTTCTCGGTGCCCCCTACTAAAACGTTTGATGTTGAGAAACTTAGTGGGGATTAAGCAACTTAACATCGAAGCTCACACTCTTGAGTGGCTTGATGTTGAAGGAGCTTTTGAGGATGTCACCTTGGGTGTTATGAACCGTTTGAAGTCAGTCGTGATAGATTTCTCTAATGATATTGCCAACAAACCTGGACCCAGCAATGCCAACTCGAGCAATTTTCACAAATTCTTCCAAAGTTTGCCCGAAATTCAGAGTCTCAAGCTTCAAAATTACTCAATGAAGGTACATCTTAAGCGCATAAATTCTGAAATTTGTTAGGACTTTGTTAACTATTATTTTTGGGATGAAAATATGTTGGTTCTGTTACTTAATCGTTGGTATATATTGACACTTGATTTTGGCTGATTTGTGCAGTATTTGGCTATTGGAAATGTTCCACAGACACCACCTAATGAACTCTTTCATTTGAAGTACCTCTTCACATGCATAGACTTCAATAGTGTGGAGGAGATTTTGACTGTTATGTGCCTGATCAGAAGCTCTCGTCAGTTGAAACATATAGACTTTCAGGTGAGTATGATAATTGAGATTGGTGTCTAGTGGACAAATCTTGTATTTCTTCTAAAATATTATTAGAGATCGTATTCAGTTATTTGTCTGATTTTTCCACGTTCTTTTATGACTTGGCAAAAAATTTGAAGCAGACAGTGAACCAAACTTTAAGTATAATGATCTGTCACTTTAGTTGAAGTGGATTTTACTTAATAAGTGGTATGCTATAACATATCATAATGAAACAAATCAACAAATCTTTTTCTATTTAGCAAAATTGTTCATCATTTGAAAAATATGAATGGGCATTAGAAGAGTGTTGCTTCATTTGTATCAAGTTTTAGATTATACGTTAGGTATAATTTGATTTGATTTGATTTTTGGTGATCATGATGTTACCATGGTGCGTTTGATCATTGATTTAAGAAAAAGGGAACTAATATGTACTTTATAATGATTAAATTATGCATTCTCAGAATGAAAGACAATATAATAATCTGTTTCGGCCAACCAATGCATCTCTGTGTTAAAGTTACTCTTTGATCGTAAAAAACACAGAATCGTGCCAAGGATCAACAGGCTACAAAGATTGGGACAATGGCCGACTTTAGGGAAGACCACCGTGCGTGTTGCCTAGAACAAGTACAAGTTGTATCAATGGGTGGGATTTTTGGCAGTGAGCTAGAGCTAGAATTGATAAAGTTTCTGCTTACTAGCTCGCCGAACCTACAAAAGATGACGATCCGGCCTAATTCCACGAGCGGAGAAGGCAAGTTGCTCAGGGAGTTGCTACGGTTCCGGCGAGCCTCAGTGCAAGCGGAAGTGATGTTTCTCTAATCCTGTTGATCTGGAAGCCAACCCATGCTAAGATTAAATCACACATGGGAGTAACAGTCACTGTAATCCTTTCAAATATTGAAAATCATTTCCTTTATTTTACTTTTTTTAATTATAAAAAAATGGCATGTACACTTCTTTAAATGATCACTATAGTCGCTTTATTAATGTGGTCGGACTGAATGATGAGTGCAGAAATGGGTCAAGTTATGATTAGCTCAACTTCTTATGTGCCGACAGGAATGCTGTGTTGGACGCAAGTGTCGAGCTGGAAGAGTGGATTTTTTTACTTTTTATTTTTTATCATTTTTTTTCTGTTATCATTTGTTTTTATCATTTTATCCATTTTAGCTAAAAAAGAAAACACCATCTAAAATTCAATTTATTTAAAATTTTAAGAAAATGAATCCCTAAACTAGATGAATCCTATGATAAAAAAAAATGAAAAGAAAAAAATGCTAGATGAATTCAAACCGATTGAAATTCAATTAAAGCTATTTCTAAGATACAGCTACTGAGACTTGCAGTATCCTATTTTTTTAGTTATTTTTTTATTTCTTTTTTACTTTTGTTTATTTGTTTATTATTTAGTCCTTAAAATCAATTAAAATTTTCATTTCCCTTTTATAAAATTGTGCACGACATTTTACTAAATCATTTTAGAATAAAGCACGAGACCTAAAATAAATATGAAATGCTGGGTTTTATGTTAATTTTTGTTCCCTACAGGTGTTTAATATCGTGCTAAATGATAAGATTCTGGTTTTTATTATTCTTTAACGGATTCAGCTTTTGCGTCGCGCTGCATAAGGGCCATTTTTGGCGATTAGCTAGGAAGTTTAAATTCCGGTTGCCATTACACTGAATTTGCAACAGTGCCGTTCAGCTAGCTGCACTCTTTAATTTTTTCGGGGGAGAGAGAGCCGCTTATGGCTTGTAGGAGGTGTTTGGTTCAGCTTTGGGAATGGGCTTTGGGCCTTGAAAGCTCCTTCCCAAAATGCTAGAGTGTTTGGTTCAGCATTTGACCTAGCATTGGCCAAATGCTAGCATTCCAAATGCTGAAAGCCCAAGGTTGGTCCGGACCAGCCTTGGGCTTTCAGCATTCCACGAATGCTATTGTTCACATTTTTTTTTTTTTTTTGGGTTTGAAGCTGTTCATCTTCTTCACCAGAAGGGCCGGCGACGGCGGCTGGCGAGGGTGGCCGGCGAGGGAGAAGGGCCGGCGAGGTCGCCTGGGGTCAGGCGACCCCTGGCGAGCCAGATCCGCCGCCGCCGGCGGTCGCCCGAGGCTAGGCGACCCTTGGCGGGGTCGCACGACCTAGGCGACGGCCGCCCACGAGGTCGCGCGACCCGGGCGGCCGTCGCCTGGGTCGTGCGACCCGACCGCGGTCGCTGGCCTCGGGCGACCGCCGGCGGCGGCGGATCTGGCTCGCCGGGGGTCGCCCGACCTCGGGTGACGGCCGGCGGCAGCCGGCTCCGGCAATGGGTAGTTTTGTTTTTTTTTTTTTTTTAATAAATAAGATAATTCTCAAAGTCCATTTGCAAAAAAAATTCACCAAACACTATATTTTGGCCAAAGTAGCTTTACAAAATATTTTTACCAAACACCATTTGTATTTCTCCAATGGGCTTTCACCCAAAGGTATTTGCATTTCCCCAAGTAGCATTTTCAAAGTTGAACCAAACAGGTCTGTAATCCTTTCAGAAATTGAAAATCAATCCCTTTTACTTTTTCTTTTCCCAAAACGGCCTGTCCAATGGTCCCTTTACTTTTGTGGTCGGACGGAATAATGAGTGAAGAAATGGGTCAAGTTATGATTAGCTCAACTTTCTTATGTGCCAGCTGCAATGATGAGTTGGACGCCAAGTTTGTGTTACATCGGCAAATAAAAGTAATTAGAAAATTGGGATGAAGGATTTTGGAGGGAGGGAGAAGGGGGAGAGGCAAGTCGATCGAATTGCTGCGCATACGTGAACTTACGAACATATATTCATTTTCAGGAGTCTGAAATTTGCGACTCTTGCTCTGAGAGTTGAGAGCTTGCTTGTAAATCTTCTCTAAACAATCGTTATTAATTTCAATTTTTATCACATATGAAAATCTTCTTTGAGAGTTGAGAGCTTGCTTGTCTCTTGCGCATACGTTATTCATTTTTTTTTATCATATATGAAAATTCCAACTTTAGGTCCAATTTCAATTTTACTCTAATTTTTTTGTTTCATAAAAAGATCACCAACTTTTACTTAAGTCTCAAATCTGCTCTATATTAAACCTCCGTCAAAATCGCCCTTAGTGATTTGCGCTCGTTGATCTCTCGTGTTTGGGAATGTTCCATCTCTCACGGTCAGAGAGCGCTCGGAACGCTCGAACAGCTTGTGCTTGAGAGTTTTTTTATCTATCGGTTGTCAACAAGAAATTTTGGATGAAGGGTTAATGGGGCAGATTTGTGACTCAAGTAAAAATTTGTGATTTTTTATGAGATTATAAAATTTTTAGGGTAAAATTGAGACAAGACCTAAAGTTGGGGGTTTTTCATAGGACCAAAAGAAGTTTAGGGTAAAATTGGGACATGTTCTAAAGGTGAGGGTTTTTTATGGGACAAAAAAATTTATGGTAGAATTGGGAATAAACCTAAAGTTGGAGGTTTTTTATGAGAAAAAGGTAAAATTAGGACAAAAGTTAAAGTTGGAGGATTTTTAGGGTATTAGGCCGATTTTTTTTTTGGTTGGCTTGATAAACAAAAAGATAAAAGATTGAAGAGAGAGAGAGATAGAAGGGTATTCCAGTCAGTTAATTGAAAAAAAAATGAGTGTCTTAGTCAAAATGGGGTGCAAATAGCACTGCCGAACTTTTAATGCCTTCTTTTTTTTGTTAAATAATTTTACTTCTTCTGTTAGGTTGGCGACGTGCGTGTTACTATATAATTAACAAAAAAAAGTTCTTTTATGTTGTTATTTCATTTTACTGGAAACTTAGTTCCGCAAAATTTATAAATTCATGCACCCCACTTGACACTCATCATGTCCCATCGTCTCATTGATCATCCGATTGCCACGTTAACTTTCTAAAGATTATACTTTTTGGTCATTTCTAGTTCTAACGTTGAAACAAAGCCAACATAGAAAATTGTTAAAAAAAAAAAGGAGCAACATATTGGTTTCATTTTACTAATTAATTTTAGTGTAAAGTACGAGACCGAGAATAAATATGAAAGGCTGGGTTTTATGTTGACTTGCGTTCCTTACAGGTGTTGAAAATTGTGCTAAATGATAAGATCCTAGTTTTTATTATTCTTTAACGGGTTTAGCTTTTGTGGTTTTACAGCATAAGGGCCCAATTTTGGCAATTAGCTTTGAAGTTTTATATTCCGGTTGCCAAAATGAGTCCGGCCAGCATAATATGAGCATTGTGGTCACAAGAGCACTATTACAAATTCAGTGTAATGGTGCCGTTAGGCCAGCTGCACTCTTTAATTTTTTCAGGGGAGATAATGTCCCTTGCGGCTTTGTAATCCTTTCAAATATTGAAAATCAATCCCTTTATTTACTGTTTCTAAAAAAAAAATGGCCCGTAAACTTTTTTAAATGGTCCACCGATAGGAACTTTATTAATGTGGTGTCTCTCCCAAATATATGTTATATTTGTAATCCTTTCATGCCGGTCTCTAAGCTGCTCTGAAGACAAACTTTTTCTTAAAATTCCACGTCATCGTTCTTTAGTTTCTTGCGGCTTCATCATGTCGAGCTTTTGTAGACTCTTACAAATGCATATTTTCATGTCTCACATCTGCATTAGTATTCATTTGCTTCGTACATTGCATTTTATTCCAGGAAATTAAAGGGTTGTGGTCTTAGAATTTACACATTGTCACGACCCTCCCTAATGGGTTACCTAGGGGGAAGCAGGTTTAACGGTTTATCGAGCGGAAACAGGTGATTCCTCTAATTGAGGTGCTCGGTCTCGCTTGGCGCAAGTTCTCCCAAACCTTAATGCGAGCGACTTTAGTTCGATTTGAATACACAGTGACAACTCTATGTAACTTGGAGTCACCACTAGTCTTTTTGAGGCCAACTATGAGCCAAGTGGAATGTTGGGAATGTTAGGAGGACGTTCCATTTCCTAAGAATCAGAGATCTAAGGTCGAAAACTTGGTTACGTTAATAGTCTAATTAGCGTCATTTCAATATATGAACTCGATTTTTTTTATCGAAAAATGTGAATCATGCGGTTTTTTTCATTTTAAGTCTCTAGTTATGTCCTACTAAATGTTCATGTGTCGTTATTTTTAAAAATAATTTTCCATCAATCATATGAGGCAAGAATCATATCAAATTAAAAGTTATGAAAGCCACATATCTAAAGCATAATTTTCCATCAACGAAAATAAGATGCAAGAAAATAAACCCGATACGTGTCGGGCAAAGTATATTACATTGCTTTGTTATTAAGCCCCAGGAAGGGAACCCGTGAGCTAATTTTCAAATTCAAAGTCAAAATCTAATTTCAAGTAAAGGGAATCATCTACTAAGCCAAAAATTTACTAAACGATATCGAAAGTGAAAACATATATCGAGGTAATCCTAAATGTAATCCTAATATAAACGCAAATGGGATTTTTTACTTTTTATTATTTATCATTTTTTCCTTTTATTATTTTATTATCACTTTATCCATTATAGCTAAAAGAAAACACCATCTAAAATCGATTTATTCAAAAGTTTAAGAAAAATGACTCCCCAAACCAGATGAATCCTCTAACAAAAAAAATCAAAAAAAGAAAAAGAAAAAAGCTAGATGAATATAAACCGATTGAAATTCAATTAAAGCTATTTCTAAGATACAACTAACTAACTAAGACTTGCACTTTCCTATTTTTATATTATCTTTTAAATTATTTTTATTTATTTATTATTTAATCTTTAATATATGAATTAAAATTTTCATTTCCCTTTTAAAAAATTGTGCATGACATTTTACCAAATCATTTTATTATAAAGCACGAGACCTAAAATAAATATGAAAGGATGGGTTTTATGTTAACTTTTGTTCCCTACAGATGTTTAATATTGTGCTAAGTGATAACATTCTGGTTTTTATTATTCTTTAACGGATTTAGCTTTTGTGGTTTTACTGCATAAGGGCCAATTTTGGCAATTAGCTTGGAAGTTTTATATTTCGGTTTCCATCACGCTGAATTTGTAACAAAGCCATTAAGCTAGCTGCACTTTTTAAGCAAATTAATGTCAAAGCTGGCAACCTCGAGTGGC